CTTTTTTCTTTTCCCTTTCTTATGATGTCCACCTTGATTTAAATGTTCTTCCATTAGATTTGAATGAATAGTAACAAAAATGTTCAATGTTATCCCGCTTTCTTAATAGAGAAGGATTTCCTGTCTTCATGATCTGGAACTTGCCTGTGGTTGCTTGTCTGTCAGTAGACCCCCCAAATTTAAGGGGCTCTACTCTAGCATGGAGTCTTAAGATATGAGGCAATGGTAAAGTTAGCAGTATGCCTCCTTAGCGGATGAGGGATCTTCCTGCCCATAGTTTCTTGTAGTCAGAATACGGATTCATTTGGTTATTTGTTTTAGAATGGCCGTAACTGCATCACAGGTAAGTGTCTAGATGTATCTTTGACTTTCAGTCCCCAGAAGAGCATGTGATAGAATTTTATTTAATCATTGTGCTAGTTATTGTTTATCGAAAGCTCCTTTTCCCTTCCTGCTAAAGTAGTGGAAGTCCTATTAAAAAGAAGATGAACATAAAGCAGGTAATAATGGCTGTTCACTGTTACTTTGCCTACATGCAACATATATCACACACATTTTAACTTAATTTGTTCCATTTTTATCAATACTTTTTGTGCACATAATTCAGGTTATATGAAACAGGTTTATAAACTGGTGTTGACTGTTAATTAAGCTATTTTGTGATAGGTCATTTCAAAATTATTTTATTCCTTTAGCAGCCTCAGCTTGGTAGGTAGGCAATACAAATGTATTCTGTTTTATAAATAAGAAAATGGAATAATTCATTGATGACCTTCTATGTCTTAAGTGCTCTGAAGTCATCCAGGTAAATGGTGAAAACAGCTACAATACATGGCTCATTCATAAAACCTGATAATCACACACCTTGAAGCTCCCATCTTCTCCAGATTTACAGTAATTATAACAGTTGGTGATGAAGAAGAGATTGCAATTGTGTCTGAGGCAACTTATGGTCCCAGGGAGTACAGGGGGAAATCAGGTCCCACTACTGCCACAGAGACTTATGCTGAGTATAAAGCTCTGGGGACCACGTTTAGTGCAGCTTTGCATAAATCATGGGGACACTGACAAACATTAACTAGTGGTGATGAATGTAACATACTAATTTATGGTAATAATGCGTGGTATGTTTGCACCTAAACATCCTGGGAGATGGGTGTTGGAAATGATTAGTGGAACCTCTACAACTTCTCTGTTATTCTAAAACTATTCTAAAGTGAAAGTGTTTTTTAAAAAGGAGTCATAAGTTATCAGATCCAGAAGGAGAGATATAGCATCCTGGGCAAAAATAATTAAACATAAGGTTCAGGAGGGCACATAATGAACCGGCAAAGAGTAAAATTGCTGGAGTCAGGATACATGGCTATCTAAACTGAGTGGGATGAAAGTTAGGGTGGTCTTGGGGTTGGGAAAGCTGTTCTTTTCGGTCAAACAAGACTATTTGGAGTGACTCTATAGGAAATGAGAATTTATTAGAAAATGATAATTTGTGTTTTGACTTGTTTTGAAATAAAGATGTATGTTATGTAGATAAGTATGTTTGCTTGCATGTATGTCTGTGTACCATATGCATGCCTGGTACCCATGAAATCTGGAAAAGAGCATTCATTGGATCTCCTGGAACTGGAGTTAAGAATGGTTGTGACTACCATGTAGGTGTTGGAATCTGAACCATGGTCACTTACAAAAGCAATAAGTGTTCTTAACAACTGAGCCTCTTTCTGGGCCTGGTTAATTTATTTGAAAGGTGTGTTCCAACAGAAGATGGGCTACAGGAAAGATGGTAGTTATGGGACTGATATGAAACTGTAGTGATGGTGTGGAGCAGAGTAGTGCTGCCTAGAGCCTTGTTGTGGATAGAAAACAAAGAAAGCATCAAGAAGCATTGAAAGACAGAGCTCTTTTCAAGCCAACTAAAGCCTATGTAGGCAAATGCTTTAATCTGTGGTGATATCTTGCTTGTAGAAATAAAGCCTGTTTGGGGATCAGAGAATGGAGCTTGCCACTAGCTAACCATAGAGGTCTGAAGATCTGTACAGACAGACAGGAAGTGAGGTAGCTAGGCAGAAGCAAGATATAAGCAGGGAGAAACAGGAAATCACTCTTTTGTCTGCTGAGATGCTAAGGAGGTAAGGTGTGCTGTGACTTGCTCCTTCTCTGTGATTTCTCAGCATGTCCCTCTATATCTGACTCCAGCTTTTTATTTTCTAGACCAATTAAGAACTCCATTTACATTGGAGCTAACATCTACTAATATCAATTCCATCTTAATTAATAGTATATATGCCAGAGAATAAATAATTTAATTTAGAGTATGGCCATATACTGTAAAGAGCCCTATACCACTGCTAATTAAATTACAGCACACTAGAGTGAAGAGCAAATCAAGATGACCAGAATTCTAATCAAAGACATCAAGGATGTTTAATGGTACCATTCTCTGAGAACTGAAACAAAGAGAAGGAAATAATGTTGTTATTTCCCACCGTGGTTCCCAGAAATAGAACCCAGACTCAGTGGATTCATGAAGCTTATTAAAAATTAAGACCAAGACTGAAGAGATGGCTCAGCAGTTAGAGCACTTGCTGCTCTTGGAAAGGACCCAGTTTCCATTCTCAGAACTTACATAGCACTCACAGCTGCCTATAACCCCATTTCCTGGAGAATCAATGTCCAAATCAGCCTCACATGTGGTACACATACATGCATGAGACAAAACACACATACAAGTCAAATAAAATAAATACAATCTTTAAAAAACAAAATAATATGCTTGTCTAAGGCAAAAGAAAAAACTCAGTCAAGAGCTTGGTTTCCTGTTTTCTTTGTGTGCTACAGAATGGATCTGAGGGCCAGGAACAGGTGTGCATCTTGGCTATCTGCATCTGCACCCCCTAACTGTTTAGCTGGCACTGGAGCTACCTAATCCCTAATGTGTGGTCCATTCTTCTGGGTGTAGGTGGTGTTTAGAGGTGTCTTTTACTATCATAATGACTCAGAGTTATGATGAAGGCAATCTTGACATAAGGATATGTCGACTGGATATTGCCTATGTTGTGATTGGATTTCTATAGCTGCTGCCAAGCATCTTGGCACAGGGAAGGGACATCTTAGCACTTTTATACTCTGGCTTGATTGAGCTCCTGGTACAGCACTCTGCTTAGCCATCATCAGTCAGGCTATACTGCTATTGAGATTGTACTTGGGTGTGAGGATTGAGAGTAGAAGCAAAAAGTAAAGTGGGTTAATGTAAATGGAGTTCTTAACTGGTCTAGATAGTAAAAAGCTGGAGTCAAATATAGAAGGAAATGCTGAGAGATCAGCGAGAAGGAGAAAGTCACAGCACTCCTTACCTCCTTAGCATCTCAGCAGACAAAAGAGTGATTTCATGTTTCTCCCTGCTTATATCCTGTTTCTGCCCAGCTACCTCATTTCCTGTCTGTCTGTCTGTACAGACCTACAGACCTCTATGGTTAGCTAGTGGCAGCTCCATTCTCTGATCCCCAAACAGGCTATATTTGTACAAGCAAAGGTATCACCACACTCCAAAGTGATAATAAGAAACACTGGACTTCTTTTAGGCTGAATATAGGATTAATTCTGTATGTCTCAATTTGATGGCTTTATTTTAAATCTCAAAGTTGTAGTATCTCTCAGAATGTTTTCTCAGCTTCTACAATTGTGGCTTGTTAGGGCTAAGGGTTAGAACTCCAGAGAATGCTGTGAGAATAGATATATCCTAAGTGCAGCTTGGCAGCTCCTTTGGGGTCCCAGTAGCCCATGTCCAGAGGAATACATCTGAAGTTAAAGAGATATCTTGTGCCTCTTCCCTAATAAAGAGTGGGTACTGTCTAGAGCTGTTTTATCCATTAACTGCTTGCTATATAAATGGAGGTCAATAGATTGCCAGCAACAGCAGTAGCACCTTGTAGCTTGTTAGACATGAATAATCTCATCTGAAAGTACATAGAAAAGTCATGTAACTTGCACATATCTGTAGTTTGAAAGCTGCCAGTTTAATTTATAGCAGTGGCTCACAATGCTTGCTGAATGTTAGAATCACCAAGAGAACTAATATATCCATATCTTATCCACCAGCAGCCAATTAAATCAGAATCTCTATAGTTGGAGCAAGGTTTTAGTGTGTTCAAAAAAGTCCCCATGAAAGAGCCCAATACATAGCTAAGCTAGTGGCTCAGGGAGCATTCTCTATGGCCAGACCTCAAGGTTCTCATTTAGTTTAAGAAGTGTCTATTGTCTCTCTTTAATTCATAATTGGGTTTGTTAATAGCACAAGGATTTGGTCATTGTTGTGGAAACCAGTGACTCTTGAACACTTTTGTCTTCTCTACTGTTCCAAAGACAGAGCCCTGTCCATCTCTTTAGCATAACATCAGAGATGTTATGCTGTCGTATACAGCCAAAAGCCTTATAAAGATACTAGCAGATACCAAGCACATGTACCTGACTACTGCTTCTACTTACACATCATAGAAAGTTATAGAGCTTATATTACAGCAAAAACAGGCAGAGATAACTTAGCCCACAGTGTTGTAGGCCCCAGCATGCTTGATAAGTAATATACTTGTGTCTTTGTTAGTTTCATTATCATTCTACCTCAATTTAACTTATTGTGGTACCATCAGAGGGAAAGTTAAAGACTTGGGTAGGGAAGAGAGAGCACTTTGTAGGACACACAGTGACATCACTTTCATGAAGGACAGAATAAAATTATATATAAGCATCCCAGGGGTAAAATCCTACCAATTTGTTTTATTTTAGGGATTTTGGAATTCTGGGGCTATAGGTGAGATGATGGAGAAAGTGAAAGTTTCTGTTTGATGCATCTCTGTCCTCTTGATGGTTTTGAGATGCTTCTGGGTCTCTAAGAGGCCCAGGCTGTTGCTATCTGCCTTTATGATTCCAGATTCTAGTTTCACAGAAGTCCTAAGCTGCATACCAGACTTCCATCTCTTATTCTCCCTTATTTTTCTCCACAGCTGGCAACCTGGGACTCGGAGAAGGGCTTGAATGGCAGTCTGCAGGAGAGGCCCATGGGCAGCCGCCTCCAAGGACTGACTCTCAAAGTGGTGACTGTCTTGGTAGGATCATGGGGATGTCCTGGGAACTTCATTTTTCAGGTCTCTGACTCAGAGGCTCCTCTCTGGTTAATGCATGGTTGAGGAGGGGATGTTGAGAGGCCACCTGAGTTTTCAGGAGTCCTCTCATTCAAATAATTATGTGGGTCAACCTAAGGGAGAGTGAGTTGGAAGGGTCTCTTCAAGGACTTCTGGTACTAGTTTGGAGATCTCTGGAGTATAGTATAGAAGGATCACTTATATCAACTGCTGCTGGGATCCTACTGGATCTTACCTAGATCTTGACCTACTGCTCTTCCTGAGGTGAACAATGTGGGTAGGCAGATTTCCCAGAAAGATGCTTGGGGGAGGATATTCTCCTATCACCCAACTATGCTGAGGGTAAATGTGATAATAAGTGTGCAGTGAATAAATGTTAATTAGTTATAATTTTTCTACATAGTTTTCCTATAATCATAGACTGTTACAATTGTCAGACTCAGATTAATATGTTTAAATTAATTTTTCTTTTTAGATTTAAAATTTTTCTCCTTTTGGGGTAGGCCAGACATGGCTCAACTCTTTCATTCCCTCCCAGGAACTCAGAAACCTTTGCCTGCAACATCTCTTCATTTCTTATGCGTACACCCTGAATGAGCCTTAAATCCTATTTCTTTTAACTAAAGGAACTCCATTACATGCATTACCAGGGGGCTCTCTGCCTTCAGCCTCTTTATATTCAGTTTCATGCAAGATGAAATGGTGTGGGTTGCTGGTGGAAATGTTTTCTGGATGGTCATCTACCTCTCAGGGCATAGATAGAGTGTGTAGGTTTGAACTCAGCATGGTTGTGGAATCATGATCTTGGGGTTTAATCCTTCCTATCCTTTGATGTATGGTATAACATTGGCCTGTTAATGGGCACTTATTTTCTAGTACAACCTGATAGATGAAATGCTGTCTTCTCTCTATCTAATATCACATAGCTTTATAACCATGCATTATTCTATGTGAACAGTGTCATAATTCTTAGGTGGCTCCCCTAGAATAATGACATATCCTAAGGACAGAGTCCTATGTCATCATGAATTCTATAGAGAAGGAAAGAAAAGACACCATTTTATGGTGGGGTCTGAAGGTTAGGATAGAGCCTAGGAAGAAATACACAGGACAATTAAATCCCTGCTGCCCCATGTTGACCTGCTGCCTGGAGCATTGCTCCTGTGCACTGTACCTTGACTGTCCATAAAATGCTTTCAGAAAAGGGCAGGGAGTTCAGTCTCTGGAGAGAAATTGGGTAAATTCCAACATTCCACCATGGTTGTTGCTATTAATATCATTGTTATGCATGCTGGGGAATGGAACTTAAGGCCTTATGTATGCTAACCATTTGCTTTAGCACTGAGCTATGTCCCCAGCCCTAATACTAACATTCTAATTTACAATTCATCAGACTTGTCTCTGTACTAATATCCTGGAAATATATGTCAATTAACCTGTTGTTGGTTTGAAGAATATTCATTCTGTTTTCTACAGGAAGAGCCTTTTGTGATGGTGGCTGAGAACATCCTTGGACAGCCCAAGCGTTACAAAGGGTTCTCCATAGATGTGCTGGATGCATTGGCTAAGGCTCTGGGATTCAAGTATGAGATATACCAGGCCCCTGATGGCAGGTATGGTCACCAGCTCCATAACACCTCCTGGAATGGAATGATCGGAGAGCTCATTAGTAAGGTAAGTCCAGGATCAGGGCCACAAAAGAGGGGCTTTCCAAAATGTCTCTAGGAGATACCAAAATCTAACCCATTCCATAGTTGAGTCCTTAGGACTACAACAAGGCATCATTTTCCTCTGTCTTCTATGCTGTGCCTGTTTATGCTCTTTTCTTTTTTTCATACCCCCAAAATCTTGACTTTTCCCTTCTTATACATTGCTCATTCCTTTGGAACCTACCCCCTATAATAAACCTTCTCTGGACTCCACCTTCTAATAAACCACTTCCATTCTTAGGCTGATGGGAAATTCACTGTCCCCACCCAACGAGTTCTACTGAGTGCTTCTTCTTCCATGTTTCATAAACTACAAATATAGTATCCATCCATGCAAATGTGAGTGTGTACCTGTGAATGGGCATGTTCATGTGTTGGCTTTGTTGTGTGTGGAAGGTGTGGCATCTCCATACATCTTACATTTCACATCAATGCTTTCCCTCCTATCTGTAGATTATATCCTCATTGAAACTCACAGCATGAAGACGATTCACTATCTCCCGCTCTTGTTCCTGTTATTTCATGGCCTCTATGTCATTTTCCCCACAATTATTTACAGTGCTGACTCCCTCTATAAAAACAACTGCTTTTGTCAACCTTAACAATTCCTGACATTGCTGTGGAAAACTCAGGACTCATAGAGCCTTGTCTCACCCACCTCCAGTCACCTTTGGTGTAACCAATTCCCCTGTATCGTATTAGCATCTTGCAGGAACCCTCTTTGCTACTTTATGACCATAACCTGTTGCCCTTCTTATTGTTTGGGGGGGTGGACTTACTCCTGAAACACAGTATCTTGCTTGCTAAGCCTATGTAGGGAGACACTAGGACTATTTACCTTGCCATGTTCCATTATTTTTTTTGTAAAGAAACTTTATTGTAGTAGAATTTAGATGGTATAAAAATCACCCAGTTTAGATCTTCATTTCAATGATATTTAGTAATTGTACAGTTTGTGCAAGTACCACTGTAATCTAGTCTCAGAGTACTTTCATTATCCCATTGTGGTCACTCTTATGTATTACATATAATTACATTCTTACTCTCATCCCTTAGTGGTCTTGTTTTCACTATAGCAGTTGTTCTCAACCTTTCTAATACTTCGAGCCTTCATATGGTTCCTCATATTGTGGTGACCCCCAACCATAAAATTATTTTCATTGCAACTATGTAACTATAATTTTGATGCTCTTGTAAATAAAATATAAATACCTGGTATGAAGGATATTTGATATACAACCCCTGTGGGGGCTGAGACCCATAAATTAAGAATCACTGCTTTATAGATTTGCAGTTGGGAACATAATTTATATGGCTCTTTCCCCATGACATACATATTTGAGATGTATCCATTTTCTATGTTTCTGTTCCCTTTTGACACTGTAGCCTTCCCTAACCTGTGTACCCTCTGTAGTAAACCACACAAACTCTTGTAGGGTTCATTTCATATGATTTTCTGTGTCCTTGATTTGTTGCTATATACAAGTTTTGAATCAATTTTATTATCTATTCTCAAAGTACACATCCAGGTTTCTACATGAAATCTAGAAGTCTATCCAGATTAATGTGGTCTCTATCCTCTACTGTCGGCCATTTTCCTTTGCTGGATTCCATGACTACATTCCTCAGATATGTTTCAAAGGTTTTCTGTTTCTCCTCAAGAAACTTAATAACCTTTTATCCATCTCAAAGGAAAAACTGGTTATCCTATATTTGAGAAATAAATTGAGACTTCTGGGTATAAAATTCTACTTGCTTATGAAACACATCCTATAAATACAGGACCTCCATTGTTAGTGGGGCATATCTCTTCCTATTCTTGGGAAGTCCTGAATTTTCTCTCCCTCCCTCCCTCTCTCTCTCTCTCTCTCTCTCTCTCTCTCTCTCTCTCTCTCTGGGTGTGTGTGGTATGTGTATCATGTGTATTTAGTATTCCCTCACACATATACCACTGCGTCCATTTGGAGGCCAGAAGACAACTTGTAGAAGTAAATTCTTTTATTTTCTTCCACCATATGGCTCCTAGGGATCAAATTCAGTTTGTCAACACCTGTGCCTGTTGTGCCTTCTCGGAGGCCCTATCTCTCAGCTCTTAAATATGGTTCAAACACTCATGACCTTAAAAGAGAATCCTGAATCTTTGGTTCCTGAGAAGGAAGACAAGGACAAGAACCACACATGCTCTGGCATAGGCACCTTCAATATTTTCCCCCATGTTATTCTAGGTTAGTGGTTCTCAAACTATAGGTCTCGATCCCCTTGGGGGACAAATGATCCATTCACAGGGGTTGCCTAAGACCATCAGAAAAAAACACATATTTACATTACAATTCATAACAGAAGCAAAATTACAGATAGGAAATAGCAAGGAAAATGATTTTATGGTTGGGAGTCACCACAACATGAGGAACTGTATTAAAGGGTCGAAGCATTAGGAAGGTTGAGAACCACTGCCTTAGCACAGAGTATGCACATAAAACAAGAAAGTTAGCAAGACAGCTTAGAAAGTAAAAATACTTGCTTTTCCAGCCTGAATGCCTAGTTTGACTTCCGGAAATCATGTCAAGGTAGAAGGAGAGAACAAATATCTGAATGTGTCCTCTGACCTCCACACATGTACCTATACTCACACCCCTCTCTTCTCTTCTCTTCTTTTTTCTTTCTTTCTTCCTTTCTCTCTCTTACACACATACAAATAATAAATAAAAACTGTTTAAAAATCAATGAAGACTAATACATTTTAGAGATTGAACATACTTGTACAATCATTTAACTTCTGAAGTATTTTAGAAGTACAGTCTATAGATGTGGGATCCTGGAAGTTGTAGAAACTTGCTGGAGAAATAGCTGGTATCTGTGCCCTTTTAGATTACACTTCTATCTAGTGCTGAGTTTCAGAATTGTGACATTTTGACTGGAACAGAGGCAGAAAAAATAGGAGATAAAGTTTGCTAGGTGAGATGATAAGAAAGTAAGCAAGTGTTATTCATAGGAAGTGAAGATATTTTACTGAATTTTATTGTCTGGAAGCATGTTCTAGGAGATTTTAGGCCCAGAGAGAGATTATCTGTAAGATGAAAGAGGTAATAGACAACGTAGTGTTGGATTTTTCTTACAGTCTCTGAATTCTCAGGGGTCAGCTCTCTAACCCATTGCCTCTGAGCAGATCTTTGAAATGGGTAGAGGGTGGACCTTGACCTAGGGTGGAAATCAGCAATGACCTGAAGGTCACCTCTCATGAACTTGTCTTTCAGAGAGCAGACTTGGCTATCTCTGCTATCACCATCACCCCAGAGAGGGAGAGTGTTGTGGACTTCAGCAAGCGATACATGGACTACTCCGTAGGGATCCTAATCAAGAAGCCCGAGGAGAAAATCAGCATCTTCTCCCTTTTTGCTCCCTTTGATTTCGCGGTGTGGGCCTGCATTGCAGCAGCTATCCCCGTGGTTGGTGTGCTCATATTCGTGTTGAACCGGATCCAGGCTGTGAGAGCTCAGAGCACTGCCCAGCCCCGACCCTCTGCTTCTGCCACCCTGCACAGTGCCATCTGGATTGTCTATGGAGCTTTTGTTCAGCAAGGTACAGTCCCAGTTTTCTGTTGTCTGAATAGCCCTGGGGGCCGGAAAAAAGCTTATCCTTTGGTAAAATTCTCAGATGCATATCACAAAAGTCATTTTAAATGTAATTTTATTTGATCTCAGTACAGTACCAATATCAGGCTCTACTCGGGTTTTCCAAGCAATATCGGATAGAAATTAAATAAAGCAACAAAGAACCCAACTTCCATTTCTGATTCTCCATTTTAGATAAAATTAACTTTGGATTTCAGGCATTTTCCTCCCCCCATATTAGATTGATTGCTATGCACATGGGGTTGTCAAATGGAACTCTGAAGAAATGTCAACATAGTGCAGCAATCTGTAAGCATTTATGCAGCTATTCCTGAAATATGAAGTCTCCCACCTTTGAGAGGCCTCATAGCACTTCTGTCCAATGGTGAGTTTCAGGATTGCACAATTTTGACCAGAAACAAATTGCAAAGTTCTTAATGTGAACCTCAGCCCTGAATGCATCATGGCAAAATCTTTTGAAGGCTAAGAAGAATAGGGAGGGAGAAGCTTCCTTCTACCACCACCTAAGGGACCAAAAAGAAATAATTGGCCACAAAGAGGTTGCCTCTCACTGAACGTTACACACAATGCTTTCCAAAAATCCTGGAGGGGAAAAATCATCCCATGAGAGCTGAATATTAATAAAATTGATATGGGCAATCTCATGTCTCTGAGTTAAAGGAAAGCTGGGAGGCCTCCAGGTAGGAAGAAATTCTTTATTTACAGAATTCCTAACTGTACTGTATGTGAATTTGAAATTGCCAAAGATCTCATATTGAAAACTAGCCCTGGCAGTTTTTGCCACAATGAGATAGAATCTTGTAGCTAGAAGAGGTGGTGTTATGACAAATTTCTCATCACTAGATCCCAATCCTATTTTTTTTTTTTTGCCTTTTTACCATTCTCTGGCCTTTCCCTATATTGCTGATTTTAAGAACTTTTCCTTTAATAAATGATGTCCTATGCAAAAGTGATAGAAATCTTTGATTTTGGCCAAGGAGGGCAGAATCTTGCTGGGGGTTGTAGTGAGGGAAGGCACAGCTAACCCCTCTGCATTCTGCAGGTGGCGAGTCTTCTGTGAACTCTGTGGCCATGCGCATTGTGATGGGCAGCTGGTGGCTCTTCACCCTCATTGTATGTTCCTCCTACACAGCCAACCTTGCTGCTTTTCTCACAGTGTCCCGGATGGACAACCCCATAAGGTATGTCTGTCCCTTCTTGATCAGCTCTGATGTAGTCTTGTTGAGGCTGCCTGATGGCATAGACAGAGACACCAGCCAGAGACACATGAAGGCTCTGAAGCTGGATAAAGGAAATGTTTAACATGAGAAGGGCCCCAATCCTGTTTTAATGTAGTCATATAAATATATAAATTAAATTATATTTATCTGAGTACTTAAATGTTGATTATAAAACTAATAAAGTGAAATACAAAATTAAATTAAATTTCTTCAGACCTTGTAAAAATAGAATGTACTCATTTAATCAAAATTTTATCAACATTCATTTAAAATTAATTAAGATCACAAGTCTAATATATTTTCACATCTGCAAAGATCTTAAAATTATTTTTTAAAAACTGAGCCCCAGATGTTGCACAGTTGGTAAACATAATAATTGCCAAGGCCAATGACCTAAATCCAATCCATGGCACCCACAGGTGGAAGGAAAGAACCATATCTCTCAAGTTGTCTTCTGACCTTTACATGCATACCAAGATAAGCATGTGAGCAGACACACAAGCCATATTTTTTCTTTTATTCATAAAATTATAACAGTTTCAGGAGTGAATTCTTGTTTTATTTAATTAAAATATAATTTCATATGACATTAATTTTGTGAAATGTTAAAATTATACAATGGAAGAATAAATTTAATGTCATGAAGTTACTCTTGAAATGCCTTGATTATGATCAGATCTCAAATGCAGTGTAATTACCAAAACAGCAAAACCAAAACCAAACAAACAAACACAAAAAGGACAACAACAAAACCGAAGGTATAAAAGTAAATGAGTATTAACCCTGAAGGTGCCAAGGTGAGGGTAGGCCTAGCTGGGTAGCATAGTGGTTCCAGTATGTCCTCTTACCTGGGCTCTTCTGTGGAGTTCCTGCTTTTCTAATGTTTTTAGTCCATTGTATTCACCATTCAACCTATTGGCTCTTTCTGTCTCCTCATCTCTGGAGTCTTCTGACTCAACCTGTTTCTTTTACTCCCAACTGCCTATTTAAGAGTGCAAATTCCTTGACTGTGACTCAAGATTCAGTTTAATACTATCTGATATCATTATGAAATTGATATCTTAACTGAGCTAATTATAGATCCATAAGAGGCTGTAAGAAATAACACAGAAAGGTCTCCTAGGCTCAGCCTAGTTTCCCTCAGTGCAACATTTAGCAACACTGTAGTATTGTATTCAACCAAGTATTGATATTGATATGATTGACTGGTTTTATTCAGATTTTCCATTAAATATGCCACATAAATAGAATCAAGCACCATGACCATGGCTTTTTTAGTTAGCTCGATTCCTCAGTGACTCTTCCAGGTTGTTGGTTTAGTCATAGTTCATTGCTTCTCAGCGATGAATGCATTCCATGTACTGTAATTTGTTTAATCATCCACCCGTTGGAGGATGTTCGGGCTGTTTCCAGTTCTTAATAGTTATGAATAAAGCTACTATGAACATTTCTATAGGTTCTTGTGTGAATATAAGGTTTCATTTACATGTGATCATTGTACAAAAGTCCAATTGCTAAGGTGTATGGTAATTGAATGATGAATTTTATAAGAAATTGTTGGCATTTGGTGTTATTTATATTTTTATTTCCTTATTATGAGATGTATGGAGTGGGTTAAATTTTCATTTTCCCAATGAGCAACAATGAGTACTTTTTATATGCTTGTTTACTTATACATCCTTGTCAGTAAAATATCTGATTTTATCTATTTCTCATTTTCTAGTTGGATTCTTTGAGCCCTGACACTGAAATTTGAAGATTCCTTGGGCATTTTCTATTCATATATTTCTTACATGTTTTATTAAATGCAATTCTTTATCTGATATATAATTTGTAAACATTTTATTCCACTATTTAAAATGCTGTACCTTGCATTTTAAATCTCCTAACAGGATGGCAGAACAAAGGTTTCAATTTTGATGAGGTCTAATTTAGGACATATTCATTCCTGTGTCAGTCTTGCTTTTGGCATCAAGTCTTAGCCTGGCCTATGACTTTGAAGATTTTTCTCCTTCTTAAAACTTTATAGTTTTATATTTTTCATAGTGCTCCATAACCAATTTTACATTAATTTCTGTGTTTGGATTGAAGTTCCAGTGAAGTGGGGTTTTTCTTTATTAACTCATCCAAGAATTATTTGTTAAGCAATATGGACTAGGTATTGTTGAGAGATGTTTAAATACAATATCCTGAAGGAGATCATCCCCTACTCTTGATGGGACAATAACTTAAAACACAGTCTACCAAGAGTGCTGTGGGGAAAAATGAGGCAAAACACTACAGGTAATATGAAGGGTGGGCTGTTTCTTCAAATAGAGTGGTCTGCAAGGCTCTCCTACCTGAAGAGAATTGAGTGATTGTGTGTGTGAGTTGTGAATGGGGTGATTGGGCTGGGACCAACCACCAAGATAGGATGAGACATGAGAAGCTGTGTTGTCAGGTTTAGAAACAAAGTCTTTGTATCTTATTATTTTAAATTAGAATCACTCACTACTACCAGATACGGACTTAGTGGCTAAGCAACAGATTGGGAGTGTTCATTGACAGGCATTTTTTCTTTTAATTGCATGAATGTATTTTCTTTTTTGAAAAGGACACTTGAAATAAACAATTTAACATTCATTTGGAAAGGATTAATCCCTTTTATAGAACTGTTTATAAGTCAAGCTACCTCTGCCAGGAACACTATAAATGTAAAGCCTTCTTTTTCTCACAGGGTGAAAGTCTGTCCCTCCTATTGACTATACTATATAGAGATATAATAAAGCTAAGTAACATATCCACAGATGTCAATTCTCATGATTACTGTGTTGACATGTGTTAAGAAGTTTCAAGTATAAAATCCATCACTCCACAGGCTCTTATTTATATTCTGTAGATTGTTTTCTGTGCTAAAGATTTTTAGCTTTTTATAATTTTATGTGCATATATATGCTGCTGTTATCTTTACTTTCAGGGTTATTCCAATAAAGAATACAATAAAGTCATTGCCCAGCCCAATAATAGAAAGCTTCCCCAGTACAGTCTAGGCTTTATTCATTTTGACCTAAGTTTTACATATGATATGAAGTGTTTTACTTCTTCACCTGTGGAATATCCAGTTTCCCAACACCAAGTATTAGAAAATCAGACTTCTCCAGCATGCGTTCTTCACAGGATTGTTTGAAATCCATTATCTATGAGTGCACAGGTTTATTGTCAGGGTCTCTGCTACCTTGCATTGATATGTCCATATCTTCTGCGCCAATATTACTACTTATGCTTACTCTAGTTTGTATGTTACTTTGACACATGTCATGTGATGCCCCCATGTTTGTTTATGTTCTTCAGATTGATTGGGCAGTCAGTGGTTTCTGTTGAACAGGACGTTCAGGGTCATTATTTTCTATTTCTATGAAAAATGACTTTTGAGTTTTGATAGGGTTGCTTTTGTTTTACTAATCACTTTTAGTTTTGGTAGTATTTTTTTCTTAGAGAAATAAGATATTGTTCATTCTGGAGTCAAATTTGAGTGACCATGGCTCAAGTGTCATATGTCATGTGACATTGAAACACAGATTTAGATTATCCTTAGTTGCCTCTCTAATGTACCTATCAATGTATTTTAGTATGGATTATTCCAATCTATGAACACAGCTTAGTTTTCCTTATATTTCTATCATTTGCAAATTTTTCACTTGATTCTTCTACTTTTAGAGTATACATCCTTCACCCCAATGGCTAAATTTATACCTAAGAACATTTGATGCTTTATTCTTGATTCATTTTTATATAGCTCATTGTTAGTTTATATAAATATTACCAATTTAACATGCTAATTTTATATTTTTTATTATATTTTATGCCCATGGAAGCTTTACCTGCATGTGTGTAACATGTTAATTTTGTGTCTTAAAATTTTTCTTCATTCCTGCATTGGTTCTCATCCTTAATTGATTGAAATATTTGGGATTTCCTATATAGAAAATGATGCTGTCTGCAATTAGAAACGTGTCTTCCTATATTTTAATTTAAGTATCTATTTCCTTTTCTTCCCTCATTGGTCTGTCAAGTATTTCCAGTACTATACTGAGTAGATGTGTAAGACTGAGCATCCTTGTTCCTAGTCTCAGAGGAGAGGCTTGCAGCTCTTGGCCACAGAGTGTGATGGTGGCTGTGGGCTTGAAGAATCTGCCCTTTCACACCCAGTTACAGTGACCCCCTTCTAACTTGTTGAGATTGTTTTATCATGAAAGGATTTGAGTTTTGTCAAATAATATATTTTTTCTCTATTGTGTTAATGTGCGTGTAGGGTGTATCCCACCCACTTATGGTTTCACCTGGCTTGGACCAGTCTGGTAAAGTCATCCATTAGATCTTTAAAATCTGATTGTTTTAATGTGTTGTTAAATTTGGCTTGTTCCCATGTGTCAAAGATTTGGGCATCTGTTTTCATTCAGGATATTAACCTATCATTTCCTTGTAGTGGTTTTTTATTTATTTATTTATTTATTTATTTATTTATTTATTTATTTTTGGTTTTGTAGCAGGGAAATGGTGGCTTTGGTCCAGCAAATTTGGACCATCCTGTGTAATATTTTGGAAGAGTCTAAGAAGGATTTCTCTAAATGTCTTATATACTTCAGCAGTGAAGCTATAAGGTTCTGGCATTTTCTTTTTTGGGAGGGTTATTTACTGATACAATTTTGTTACTGTTGATACTTTCTATTTCTTTATCATTTATTCTTGGCAGATTACATGCTTTCATCCATTTCTTTTAGGTTATCTGATATTTGGGCATGTATGGTTGTTCTTAGTCTTTTATGATACTTATATTTGTAAGTTATCTTGAATTTCATTTACAGTTTCATCCAAGCCTTTTTTTTTATGTATGTTTAGCTAAAAGTTTGTCAGTTTCATCTTTTCAAGGAGACAAATTGTCTCAATCTTTTCAATTGCTTTCCTAGTTTCCATTTAATTTC